TAGTATCGCAATATATTGGGATATATCGTATCGTCACCCCTCTGTCATGATATGTATCCTATCGCCAAATTCTTGCCAATACACAGTAATGTCCATAAGTGGATTCATGGTTTCCAAGAGTTTTTAGCCTTATTCATTATACTTTTGAAAATGTTGTATACTGTATAATGCAGAAAAACCTCAGGCGAGGGGGATTTTTTTTTTTTTCTGTGTTCCATCCTCAGTATCTCTGAAACAAAAGCATTTGATGTGATACTTACACTCCTGATGAAATCTGCCAAGTGTTAGCTTTATTTTGATATCAGGGGTGTTTATGTGGTGTTTTTAGGTGCTGAGATAGACCCAGTTACATTTGGGCATGCTTTTTCCAGCACAAACTTCAAGAAAACCCCTTGAGGCTTGAACAAATCTGTTCGTATGAATGGTTCTTGCATGAGACCCATTGATTTATAAAGATAATCAGGAAAATTAACAAGGCTGCCCAAACTTTTGCACCTCACTGTAATTCAAGGCCTAACTTTAAGATGTTTTTCATATAAGGCCTTGGTTTAGTTGTGCAAACACCAAGAATTCACACTATTGAGGACATTTTTTTCCATAAGTTTTTCAGCACAGAACTCATTCTGCAATTTTTGTGCTATTTTAACAGTTTATATGTTAAAACATTTAGCTTCTTCAGGAAATTCTGGCTATGACTTTTGGTATTCCAGCAATTTACACTTAATATATTTAGCATTTTGGCAGTTTTTCCTCATTGAAAAGAAAAGGAGTCGTTTTCAATGTCCTCGAAATCCTTCAAGCATGTTTTTAGCTATTATTTTTACCTTTTCTGCTATTCTTCTGCTAATTTCAACTTTTTGTGCTATTTGAAGATTTTTATGTTTTTTCAGATGTTTTCTGCTGATTTTGTTTTTACTTTCTAATCTAGCTAATTGTAGCTATTTTTACAGCTAAATTGACCTTTTTATAATAATTTCAGCTTCTTACCACTTAAGTCGGTAAATATGCTGTTTCTTTGTGCTAATTTTAGCTATTTCAGCTACTTTTTTTGCTAGTTTTAGGCTAGTTTCAGCTTTTTTTTAGTATTCAACAAAAATCTTTCAGCACTAGGTCACAATGCATTTTTGCAGGAAATGCAAATTCTCTAGTTCTAGTAAGGCCAAACAAAATGTTTTTTTTTATTATTATTGTTATTTTTAACGAGTGTCAAACTGAGTTTGTGGAACAAGTGTGTCCTTTAAACAAAACACTGTTTCTTTTTACTCAAACAGAAAACTCATTTTTAAGCCTTTCTTATCTTAAGATAGGATACGATACGATACAATTCAAAAGGATACGATACGATAAAATACGATACGATATGATACGATAAGATAAGATAAGAAGATACGATATGATAAGATAAGATAAGATAAGAAGATACAATATGATAAGATAAGATAAGGAGATACGATACGATACAATAAAATACGATAAGATAAGATAAGATACGATAAAATACAATAAAATACGATAAGATAAAGTACGATACGATAAGATAAAATACGATACGATAAGATAAGATACGATACGATAAAATACAATAAAATACGATAAGATAC